TTTTTAACTTTGTAGGTGCGCTATATAGTCGGGAAAATACGGTAATTTAAAACTTGAGACAAATATTTGGTTAAATAAGTCTGGATTTTGGAAACTAAGTTGGTACCAATGGGAGCAAGAAGTTGTTGAATCTGCGGGTTCTGTTCCATCCTTTTGGTTGGGAGATGCCATCATCGTACTCAGAGGGCAACCAGCGGGTGAATGGGGTGTTGGAGGCACCCAGCCGAGGGTTGTTTCTGTAAAAGAAATGTGGAAGGCTGATGTTTAGAAATCAAACTTTTGAAATCCCACAGAAGTGAACACATCTTTTGTGGTTCATGGCCTAAGATGTTTGAGTGGATCTCACAAGTTCTTCTTTAGAGGTAAGTTTCAACTTTTTGGTATAAAAAAGGAACTTCTAAAAAGTATGGTTTGCACCAATAAACCCTATATTCGTTTCTAAGAGCAAGTTCTTAAGACAGATGATCAATCGATCCTACAAAACTGTTTTAAATTCAATAAAATCTTAATTGTGATCTAAAACTTACAAGTTGTTGCAGACGCTGGTGATTGTGCGATACTTGTTGATATTTGGTGTGTTGTGACATGGTGGATTCCTGATTCGAGCTTCACATCCAGTAATCCGGGCAAGTTCTCTCAAATCTTGTTCCGTGAGTAAATCTGAAAGGTGGAGTCCAGAGAGCTGTGTGTCCTTACAGGTTTTTAGATGTAATCAGATTGTTAAAAGTACCAGATATGGAAAAAAAAATCAGCTTTGACTGAGCCTGACCTGTTGCATTGAGGGAGCGCTTGTGCACACGATGTACTTTCTCTTGGACCAAACGGAGAGTCTGTGCCATGTAGTCAGCAGAGCGCACAGCTGAACGAGTGTCACCGCGAGGCTGCTTCAGGAGGTGAAGAGCATCACGAGGCTGCACCTCATCCTTGCGGACCCGTCTGAGGCTCCTGCAGGAGAGAGAATGGAAATATTTCTCAGTTTTAACAAGAAATCCAGAGCTCTGCAGTTCAGACATTCAGAAACTATCCTTCACTCAAGATATGAAAGCATTATGAACTCACTCTTCTCTTGAGTATTTGTATGCGTCGTCTACTATTTTCTTCGCTTCTTTGAAGCATTTATGAAGAAAAGGACTGCCAAGTCTTTCCTCTGGAAAACAGGAAGAACAATTTAAACATAATGCCTTTAAAAAGCAAACATGTATAAAAATATACTGCTTAAAAAAAAATAAAGGGAACATTTCACTTTAATTTTGTGTGTGGCACCAAATCCAGGCCGCCATTGGTTAATAAATTTGATTTCCATTGATGATTTTTGTGTGATTTTGTTATCAGCACATTCAACTTTGTACAGAACAAAGTATTCAGTGAGAATATTTCATTCATTCAGATCTAGGATGTGTTATTTGAGTGTTCCCTTTATTTTTTTGAGCAGTGTATATATCTCAGGAGAAATTTACCCATAGGTTTGGATTGACTGGGCACCAGGCAGAGGCCCAGCACAAGGAGGACAGAGAGAAGCATCTCTGAAGCAAACCATCAAACAAACATCAACTGGTTAAAAATACACTGAATCAAAAACATTTTCCTCTATGGATTAAAAGAAAATTTTTACCTCTGTCTGTGAAGGCTTCTGTGGCGTTCTAAGATGTAATTTGATGTCCGGAGGTAGTGATGCTATATTCAGATATCTTTCCCTTCTTATATTCGGTGAATTGGCCCAACGCCTCGCCTCCTTTAGAGGATCAGCAGGTGTGGCTACTGTCGCTTTCTTGCTCTTTCTCAAAGTACTGTAGGAAACACTGCTTTTACCTAATCAACTACAGATTCTGGTTAACTTCTAAGACTTATTTAGGACCTATTAATGCACCGATTGCAGTTTTCTGGTAGATTGCGATTACCAATATTTAAAAAGCCTGACCGGCCGATTCCGATTTTGGCAGATACCAATGCTTTTTGTCTGAAATGTTGAGTTGGCAATAGTGGGGCGACCATTGTTAACTGGAAATGTGCAGACATGATCTGGTCGGTGGGTCTGTCTGTCATATCTCTCTCACAGCAGAGCAAAAGGGGACAGTAGTTGATTTTTAGATCTTTGTTGAGGTAGATAAGATTGTCCGATCTCAAAAAATTAAGGAAATTGGTGCCAATAGATCAGTTGGTTGCACCCCTATTAGAAACCTATAAACAGTTGTATGACAATTTGGGTGTGTTGGTCAGAGATCTGAAAAGCACAAACATATTAACACTGACATGTGTGGATAACATTTTTTAATAAAAAGTCATGTTTGTAACAGCTATTCATGATACAGTACAATATTAAAAAAATATCCAGAATGTTTTCATTTTCATTCAGTATTGAATTAAAAATGTGTATCACAGAGATGAGTTAATAAGAAAAATGGCATTTGTTCAAGTTGAGTAATGAGGAAGAGTGAAAATAAATGTACAGTCAAACATAATGTTTTCTTGAAAAGCACTTTAAGTGTGTGTGTGTGTGTTTTGGATGGGGAAGCCCCTTCTGCACATAAAATGGCTTTCTTCTTTCTGTTGCCATGGCGCACTGTGATAAAGTTTAACACAAAACAAGCCAAAGTCCTTCAGCTTTGACTGCCATCAAGTAAGTGAACAATAAATGAAATATGGAGGTCAATCATTAAATATTTGATGTAATCAGAAGGTAAATGATAGAACTAAAGAGTTCTTGAATATTTTTAAGCTCACTCATTTGACTGCATATTTTGAATTTTGGCATCGTAAATTTGAGAAATACAAATATGTGGACAATTTTTGTAAAAAGAATAAGCAGTAATGCGACAGTATCTCAAGGCAGCAATGGCTCAGAGAGCAAATAAAGTTTTTTGGTAGTTATTTTGTCAATGACTCCAAAGAGAAACAAGATAGCATAGAAGCTTAACTATGTGTTTGTCTATAGAGACAAAGAGATAACATAAAGTAGATGACGGCCATAGCTCCATCAACCACAGAAAAATAAGACAGTCACAGAAATGTTGAGCTAAAGTACAGTCTGTGGTGAAAAGTAACAAGTATACAAAATTCAGGAATTTAAAATTTAAAAATATCAGCTGAGAAAAGTCTAAAGCTCACTAAAGTGCCATTTTGGCCAACGTGACCCAAATTTGACAAACTCTAATGGAAAATATACTGTGTTGTATTTTTCTGCATTTTAACAATTCAAAATGAATTTTCAGTCTTTCATTTGCACAGTTTTGATTTATATTTAAGGTTTAATCTGTTACAGGATAACAACAGAGATATTATATTTTTTCATTATGCTTTGTGTAGCTCTGATCTTTGCACATTTTCTTTGAGCTTTTATTAAAAAAGGGAAAACTTCACCAGTGGAAGTTAGTACTGTTGAATTAATGGACTAGACCTCACTGCCCTTTGTTATATAGACGGGAACATTTCCTGCACATTTTACAACCACATGCAATAAAAATCTCCTCAGCTGTTGCTGAAAAACTCAGCAAAGGTGTGGCAGCATTCTTTTATCTAAATCTATCACACGTATCAGCAGCTAACTTTTCTTCTTGGCAGAAAAGTTCACATATCAGAAACATTTCCACCCTTTTTGTTTGCAACATTCAGTGAAGAGTTGCACTTGTGTCTTAATCTCTTTTTGAAGGAAGTTAGAAAGAAAAGGGGAAACAAACCTGAGAAGCTCTTAGTCAACTTAAGTGTGGCAAGAAATCACATTACACCACTTGGGATGGAAGAAAGAAGGTAGTTTTTCAGGCCAGGGTGGACACCAGTCATCAAAGTTGCCCTTAGAGAGTCAGACAACAATACTGCACAGAAACGAATTAAAGATATTTCAAACATTACTTGAACAATGGCAGATGTGCATTCCTCTTAAGCAGGAAGAAAAGCTGGTTTGGGACGAAGCATGAGTCATGCTGACAATCACTTACTAGACTAGGAGGTGTCGTGCAGACCTGACCTTTTCTATTAAAATAATAAGGAAGCTTTGTCCTCAGCGGCAGACGCAGTAAGTCATCTTGGACACTAAAACGAATTCCTGACATTCAGGATTGTTATCATCATGCTCTACTAATTAGAATTACATCACTGTAAATGTTTAAGCCACTTTACTTGTGAATACATATGAAGAAAGCAGAAAACAAATATGGGCATGCATCTTGTGTAGAGATAGCTGTTGCCTGCAAACGTTTAACTCAAATTTGGCATTGCATCATATTTGAAAGGCATTTTAAGCAACAAACCTTTATGGGAAAAAAAACAGACTAGAATTCACACATTGCTGCAAAATTTAAAAAATGATTGGAGTTAAAAAAAAAAAAAAAAAAAAAAAAAAAAAAGGGCCAAAAGTTGTCAGGGAAAAGCAAAAAAATAAAGTTTCCCCAAAGAAACTTTTT